CGGTGTGCCTGGCCCAGCGGGGAGGGCGCTCAGGCGCGGGGCAAAGGAGGGACCCGGCAGGCGGGAGCTAGGACGGGGACCCTGCTGGGCCCAGCGCATCAGTTGATGGCGTCTGCCCATCCCAGCCGGTGTTGCCTAGCTGGAGGCAGTGTCCAGTTGCGACACCAGAGACACCAGGGACACCAAGGGCCCCATTGTCCCAGCGAGGTAAGGGATCTGGGAGAAGGGAGGGACGAAGGGGTGTATGGTGGGGTAAGGTGGGGACCCTTAGGGAGAGGAACTCTGGGTGACTGCAGGACCCTGAAACACAGGTCTAGGGCCTGCAATGTCCGTCTGTCCATATCTGGTTGTTTTCTGCCCACCGTTGACCTTATCTCGGCTGAACTCGCCATTGCAGGGCTTGGTGATATTTGAGGATGTGGCTCTGCATTTCTCCCAGGAGGAGTGGGGGCTTCTCAGTGTGGCCCAGAGGAGCCTGTACCGTGACGTGATGCTGGAGAACTTTGCTCTCATTAGCTCTCTAGGTAAGTCTTCCTCCTTACCATCTCTACTTTTTTACCTGGAGAAGGTTTTGTCCACAACAAAGCTCCTTCTGGTTCCCTGTGGTGGGATTGGGGTGTGTGCCTTCTCAGCCTCTCTCAGAGCAGCCTGGTTAGCAGCCCAAACACCTGTTTTCCCTGATAGAGCAGGATTTGTGGGTCAGTAATTTCACAGTTTGGCTGCCAAATTCCACTCAGCTCTGCCTCCCTGGTCCTGTGACTGTGCTAGAACATGACTCCTGTGTGCTCTAGATTTTGCCTTCTTCCTCCAGAAGATATTTTACAGAGCCCTCCCTGGACCAGACTTGAACCATGACTTTGAATCCATAGATCACTGGGGGCACTATTGCCATTTTAAATCTTTTAGATCAAACATGACATGTCTTTCCATTTATGTAGCTCTTTAATTTTTTTCAACACTATCTTGTACTTAAGTGAATAAAATGTCTATTTTATGTGTGTGTTATGTGTGGTACTGGGGATTAAACACAGGCCCTTCATACTGGCCTATATCCCCAGCCTTTATTTTTTTTTTTGAGACAGAGTCTCACTGCGTGGTTCAGGCTAGCCTTGAACTCCCTATGTACCCCAGGCTGACCTTGAACTCTCCATAATCCTCCTGCCTCAGTCTCCTGATTTCTGGGATTACCCTTTTGTTTTCTCTTGTTTTTTGGGACAGGGTCTCACTAAGTTATTACATTGCCCAGGTAGGACTCAAATTTGTGATCTTCCTGCTTCGATTTCCCAGAGGGCTGGGATTATAGGGATACACAACCAGGCCTGGTTTCGTTTCTTTTCTTTTTTTTTTTTTTCCCTTCTGGTTTTTTGTTTTTGAGCCCAAGCTCACCTCCAACTTGCAGGAATCCTCCTTCCTAAGCCTCCCAAGTAACTGGGATTACAGGCATGCACCATCATGCCTGGCTATTTTCTTTATTTTTGGATTATTCATTGCTAGTTGTAGAAATACATTTGGCTTTTACATATTTGTCTTATATCCTAAAGCCTTGTTGAATTTTTAGTTCTTACAGTTATGTAGTGGATTCCTTGGTATTTTCTTTTTATAGGCTCCTGTCATCCTTGACTAGAGATCCTTGTTTTGATCTTATCTTTAAGGGAAAAGCATTCAGGTTTTCACTGTTAAGCATGATGTAGGCCTGGGATGTAACTCAGTGGTACTGTGCCTGCCTGGCAAGCACAAAGTCCTGAGTGTGATCCTGGGTACACCCTGCAAAAAAGCATGATGTTAGCTGTTTGTGTATTGCAGGTGCCCATTTCACATTAGGAAGCTCCCTTTCTTTCCTAGTTAGTTGAATACATTTGTCATGAAACATCATTAGATTTTATCAAATACTTTTCCTACATCTGTTGTATGTGGTTTTTACCCTTTCTTTTATGAGTTGGTATATTACAGTAATTGATCTTCATATATTCAGCTTTGTATTAATAGGATAAGTTTATTTCATGGTTTATAACACTTCTTTTTGTGCTTCTGGATTTAGATTGCTAGAATTTTTTAAAAAATGTTTACATTGACATGTAATACTCACGTTATTTATTTATTTATTTATTTTTGGTATCAGGGATCAAACTTGGGTCCTTGTGCTTGTGAGGCAGGCACCGGAACCACTGAGCTAAATCCCCGGTTCTAGATTGCTAGAATTTTGAGAAATTTCACATCTGTATTCATGGAATCTATCAGTAGTATAGTTTTCTTTTAACATATGAGGATAATTTTAAGTGTGAGAGTAAAATTTTGATTTCAATAATCAGGCGGGAAGCATTCCTTCCTATTTTAAGAGTTTGTGAAGTGTTGATATTCTTACTTCAGTATTATTAGTATTCACCATTGAAACATCTGGACCCGGGCTTTTTTAAAATGACAACAAAAATTCTTTAAGTTCATTTATATTTTTTATTCTTCTTCAGTCAGTTTTGGTAGTTTGTTCCCTGACAGAAGAACAGAGTACCTTGACCATTGCGACACCCAGCCAGCTGCAGGTTTTCCCAGCAGGTTTCAGCCCAAGCCAAGATCTTGACTGTTCCCAGGAACTGACAAAGGTATTTAAGTTGGTGCCAAAACACTGACAGATACAGGCCCTGTCCCTTATCCTGAGTCAGTGATGGCAAACCTTTTGGAGCTTCGATGATAGAAAGAGCTCACTGCAGTACCTTTGCCATAGGTTCACCACCACTGGCCTAAGTTCAAAATGCTGATAGAACCTCCATGCCATGACTCCCTCACTGTGGACATATTTAGGTAAAAGATCTCTCTCTTGCCTCCTCTTGGGGGTATACTTTAGGCACTATAAACAGTTTGGACTGATCACCCTGGGCTCTAGTGGTTCTTTCTTTGGAATACCAGTGAGCCCCTTGTATAAACTCCCCTGCCACAGCTTTTGTGGTAAGACTCTCAAGTTTGGCCAGATGAAACATTCCCATTTGTAAATTAACACCTTTCCTTCTTTCTCTCCTCTCTCACATTATCTAGGTCAGTGATAGCAAGCCTTTTAAAGATTTCAATGATGCAAACAGTTCACTGTGACATGTGTGCCATAGGTTTGCCACCAATGATCTAAGTAAAGGTTTATCACCTTGTTGATCTTTTCTGAAGACCAAATTTTGGTTTTGTTGATTTTATTTATTTAATGAATTTTACTTTATCTTATTCCCTCCTCAAGCCCCCTCCCCTCCCTGTGATCTTATTTTTTTAATCTGTATTTCATGTATTTCTACTGCTGTCATTATGCCCTTCTACTAACTTTGGATTTAGTTACTTTTCTTGTCCTTTGAGGTATTAATTGGTTTGAGATCTTTTATATTTTATTTAATTATTTTTTTATTTAGCTATGTAGCCCTCTGTCTTCCCGCCTTCGCCCCTCAAGTGTAGGTTTTAGGCTTGTGCTGCCACACATTTCTTTTTTGGTTTGAGACATGGTCTCGGTGTACCCCAGGCAAGCCTCCAACTCACGATCTTCCTGCTTCAGCTGCCCAAGTACTGGGATTACAGGCAGGTATGAGCCAGTATTACTAGTGAGATCTTTTGAAATATGGTTATTAGGGGCCGGGGATTTAAATGAGTGACAAAGTACTTGCTTAGCATATGTGAGGCTCTGGGTTCTATCACCAGCACTGCAAAAAGAAAAAGAAGAAATGTGAGTGTTTTGTATTCTATTCCCTCTGTTGCTTTTGTTGTATACCATAATTTTTGGTGTGTTGTATTTTCATTGTCATTTATCTCAAAGTACTTTGTAACTTTGTGTGACTTTTTTCTTTCACTTCTTGGTTATTTAGGAGTATTTTGTTTAAATTCCACAAATTGCTCTTTATTTCTGTTTTAATTCCTTTGTGGACACAGAATGTACTTTGTATGATTTCAATCCTTTTGAAGTCTTTTGAAGATTGTAGGTCCTAGCAAATAGTATTTTCTTTGGACTTTTCCACATGTGTACAAATATGCGAGGGGAATGTGGACCTGTTGTGGTTAGTTGTCATGTTCTATAGATGTTGTCAGTCTAGTTGTTTTCTGTTGTTGACCAAGCTTCTGTGTCCTTATTAATTTTCTTCTTCATGGTTTCACCCATTATCAAAAATGAAAATTGAAGTCTCCAATGATTATTAAATTGTCTTTTGTATGTTAATTTTGCTTTGTAAGAGAGGTTTTTTTTTTTTTTTTTTTTTTTTTTTG